CTTTAAAGGCCTTTGGCTACTTTTAAAGGTAGACTAAAAGTTTTGCATAATGAGATGGGCATGATCCTTTTGTGTTTCTTGGGTGGACTGTTACGCTTTAGATCTAAAATGTTCCCTAAAAGCCTCCTATGCACAGGGGTAGGGCTTTCAGAAGGTGGTTGGATCGTAGGGGTACCGTATGTGCGATTGATCTGTTAATGAGTTCACAGCTGAGCGTGCTGTTAGAAGACGAGGCCAATAGAAGGCTGTGAGTCTGTGGAGACATGAGCTAGAATGGCCCAGTCTCATTCTCAACTCCTCCCTCCTCTCTGTGCTAATTGCCACGAGGTGGGAAGTTTTCCTGTGCCGTGAGGTAAGAAACTTTCCATTACACCTTTCTGCCTTTAAGCATGGACTGAACCCTCTCAAACCTTGAGCCCTACAAACTTCTCCTTTAAGCTGTGTGTGAACAAGAAAGTAACTGATGTTGAGTTTTTGGTAGATGTGTGATCTTATCACCAGTTTTGGTTTTTGTGGGACTTTTTGGTTTTGGTTTTGGTTTTGGTTTTGGTTTTTGAGACAGTCTTGCTATGTAGTTCAGACTGGCTTTGAACTTGTGGCAATTCTCTTGCCTCAACCTCCCAAGTGTTCTGACTGCAGGCATGTACTACCATGCCCAGCTACCAAATTTAAATAATGCAACATCGTGTAGAAATAACCTAAAAGAGAAAGAGCCAATACTACCTTTTTCCAGAGTTTAATAACTCTTTTTTTACCATCCAGACTGTTCATTGTTTCCTTTACTGAAAAACTGCTATCATTTTATTTATTCATTTACTTATTTACCTATTTATATTGCTGCTGAAATTTTCTGTTTGTTTTTATTTTGTTTCGTTTTGTTTGTTTTGTTTTGGAAACAGCATCTTGCTATGCAGTTCAGGGTGGTCTTGAGCTCACTGTGTAGCCCAGACCGAAGTTGCCTTGAGCTCCCCGCAGTCCTCCTGCCTCAACCTACAAGTATTGGGATTACAGATGTGTGTTGCCAGACCTGGGTAGTGCTAAATATTAAACCTAGCATTTCTTAAATGCTGAGCGTATCACTGAGCTACAACTTCAGCCCCTGAAAAATTGTTCTCTAGTCTCTCAAAATCCTAACTGGGAAGGGGAAAAGGTGATGGATAAACTTCAGGGAGTTGGCTAATATTTGGAATTGAAGTAGGAAGTAAAATTGAGAAAATATTTACAGTGCAGAAAACTAAGAGTTTCTGCCCTTTTTAATGATTTTCCTAATGGTGACGATGAAATAATCACTTTCTCAGAAAAGAAGTTCACTTCCACTTAACAAATAGGAATGATTGGAGCTAAGGTACCACATTTAGCAAAATAATTAATATACTCATTGGTAAATCATTTTTCCATGTGTTGGGTAGTAAAACACAAGCTTTTATGTTTTCCCTTTGAAATAAATCTGGTAAAATAATTTGGATCACTCCTATGGTTATAAATAAGTAAAAATGTTATATTCATATGGGTAAAAAAACTAAAAAAGAATGGAAAAATAGTCTTAATGTATTAAAATAGTGAATTTCTGAGAGACTTTTTCCTACTATAATTATTACTTTATTCATGGAGCAGTTTTTGTCAGAAACAATTCTAACATAAAAATTACCTATTTTTATGATTATCTTCATTATGCACAATTGCTGAAAACATTTCAACTACTCTAGCAGGAGATAACCCAACAAGTTTCATGGGCTTCAAGATATATCTCTGTCAAACTACTTTCACTGTTCAGCCAACATCCAATGGTCATCCTCAGTGCCTATTATATAGTTGGCTAAAACCTAAACAAGAGAGGTAGAAGTTCAACGAAAACACAGTTCATATGCAAGAAAATCACATAGGACCTGGAGAGCAGGCAGCAGGCTGGAGACCCAGGAGTAACACAGGCAAAGCTGCCCCAGATTAGTCCCATCACATGAAACAAGAAAATATTGGAACTAACAGCAAGACAGATTGGAAACCAATTTATTTTTGACCCTCAGTTATGGAAACTACAAGGGCTCCATAGCTTAGAATAAGCTAATCCTCCCAGCCCATCTAGGCAGACACCAAATAATTCCATCTCGGGCATTGAGTGTGGGTTGAACAAAAGGCAGATTTTCCCACAAGTTAGCTGTACCTCCTCCACCTCTTTCTCTTCCTCCTCCTCCTCTTCTTCCTCCCATGTCGCTCTTCCTCTGCTTCTATTTCTCCTCCTCCTTTTGGCCCTTTATTACACTTTCCTTAGCTCAAATGTACTATTCTTCCCCTCCAAAGCTTTATTTTTTACTGTATTTTAGAGGCTCAAATCTACTTCTATTTGTTGTAAAAGCAAGTCATTAAACCAAAGTTCACACTCCATGTCTTGTGTACCCCAGTCATAACAGTGCTTGGAAAATACTGTTACAGTATTTACACTGATCACACTATCAGTAATGGAGCAGATTACATTTAATCCTAAAAAATGATGTTGACAAATTTAAATTTCATTTCCTTTTTGAAAAAAAAGCTTGGGTCTGTATTTGATAGGAAATGGCATGCCACATTTCACACGTACTGTCTCCCTGGAAGGCAGTTGGCCACCATGGCAGGAAAACTATTTAGAACCAAGATTACTTTTCAACCTTACAGTGAGCTTTGTTTTGACCCTCTGCTTTCAGAACTCAGGCTTTCTTCTATATCATTTAGGTCTTGGACACATTTGTGACTTTAGTTCTGAATCATCCACTTGACTCATTTTCTTCTTTCTTTTGGTCCTGCTCTGAAGCAGTCGAGTCTCTGCTCTCATGACCACATCTTCTTTTAATTTTCAATGTTGTTTCAAACTCTTGTTTCCCTTCTCAGCTATAATTTAGTTTTTTGTTTGCTTGTTTTTTTTTTTTTTGGTTTTTTGTTTGTTTGTTTGGTTTTGGGGTTTGTTTTTTTTTTTTTTTTTTTTTTTTGTCTTTTTCCTTTTTATCAGTACCGAGGATCGAACTCACGACTGCCTGCTTGCAAGGCAGGCGCTTATGCTGCTGAGCTAAATCTCCAGCCCCTATAATTTAGTTTTTATACCTAGGTAACAACTAAGAGATCATCTGTTCACATCAACACCCAGTACCCTACATATCTGCATAGACTCAGTAATGGCAAACCCTTCCAGTAAAAGCCAAAACTAGGTGATAATAGTCAGATGTCCTGTCATACCAGATGTAATCAGATCCCTCCAAAATAATAACAATTATTATTTATGATTCTAAGTATCCCCAATGAAAAGTATATAACAGGTAAAACTAAAATATGGAATCAAAACAATTAGATTTTTATAAAAATACGTAGGGGAAGCTTTCATATTTTCCTTAGATTTCATTGTTCCTTTTCAGTTTTTATTGCATTACCATTAAGTAATATTTTCACTGAAGAATTTCTTGGTTTGTTCTGTTTTGTTAGTATTACTTAATTTCCCATAACTTTCTCCAAGTTCCACTCTACAAATTTCTTCAGTCAATAGATGAATAGCTTTTTGTAAAGAATAAAGAGCACAATTCAACATGCTCAAAATTTAATGACAAATCACCTGCCTTTAATCTAGTAAAATACTGTTAAATTAAACCTCCTCTTTCAACTATATAATGTGGAAAGAATTAAGCTTCAAAAATGCCTTTATTATGCCAAATGTGGTTTGACTCTAAAATTAAAACCTTAGTCTGGTGATTCATTTTAGCATTGAATAAGAATGGAAACCTGCTTTGTGTTTTAAAATAAGAATAATTCACAAATGTGTGTACTATAACAAACTAATGAAGACCAAAAAATTCCATTATTATTCAAAAAAAAAAAACCCGTGGAATTGTATTAGCTGTATTTCCTTTCCAGTCTCAAACAATGGTTTAAATTGTGTGAAGAAAAAATTTCTACCTTTTACAACATATAGAATTTCTCCATGCAGATGAAACGATCCTAATTCACCACTCTACAAGAAGGCCTAAAATGATTACTTCTAATAGAGAGAAAGTGGATTTTCCTGTTCTGGTAGCTATAGGAGTGTAAAGAGAGTAATTAAAGACATGTCAGTATCCAAAAACACATAAATACACACACACACACACACACTCATGCTCACATTTTACACATTTTTTCAGAAAGGGATCAATCACAATCAATCTTATTTCCTATTCAAATGAGAAATTGAAAAGTTACTTAATTCAGCTCAATATCTTTTCCAGAGTTAAAATTATATCATAAATCATACCAGTGAAAACATCACATTTTAAAATTCATCTTAGCTATCTATATGGCTTTGCTTTAATAATTTATACTCTTGAAATTAATAATTTGAATAAAAATTTACATTATTTCTAACTGTGGCACTATACTTTCTTTGTATTTATCAGAAGTTTCATAAAAATTGAGAGATATATACAAAAGTCCAGTGGAAAAAATTTCACTGAAATAAAAGGTTGAAATCATTTGTCTCTTCTACCTCTTAGGTTATCTGTCATTATAAAACCTAAGGAATAGATAATGGTAAATAAGAAGATAGGTTAGCAATTGCCAACTGAAAGTATTCTCTATTCATCGAGGCAATTTTTGCAATTTTTGTCACATAAATTACACTAACTTCTTATCCATTTGGAAATAACCACCTTACTCATGGATAGAAAGAGCTAATATAGGGAAAATGACCATACTCCCAAAACCTGTTATGCACAATTATTGCAATCCTAATGAAAATGTCATTATCATACCTCACAGAACTAGAGAAAAAAATCCTAAAATTGATTCAGAAAATCAAGAGACTTAGAATAGTAAAACAATTCCAGGCAACAAAGGCAAGGCAGGGGCATTGACAATTTCTGACTTGAAATTATACTATAAAGTTACTATAATAAAAACAGCATTGTACTGGGAAAAAATAGACTTGCAAATTAGAAGACATGGAAGACACAGAAACAACTCCAAACACAGTCAGCCAGTTTATCTTTGAATAAAGAGCCAACAACCTTTACTGGAGCAAAGATAATCTCTTTAAGAAATTGCACTGGAAAAACTGGCTTTCCACATGTTAAAGACTAAACTAGACCCATGTCTATCATTGTGTACTAAACTAAAATGAAAATAGATTAAAGATCTAAATATTAAAACAGAAACACTAAATTTGCTGGAAGAGAAAACAGATAGAAATCTTGAATACATAGGTGTGGACAAAGACTTCATCAACAAAACACCAATTGCTCAGGAAATATTACAAAGAATCAACAACTGGGATCTCATCTTATTAAAATGAGTTTTCCCAGAAAAAGAAATAATCAAAAGCATAAAAAACAACCCACAGAGTAGGAAAAAATAATAGCCATATGTCCCTCAGACAAAGGACTTCTATCTAGAACATATAAAGAATTGAAAAAAACTCAGACACCCCTCCCCCAAATTCAAAGACCCAATTCAAACATGGCTACCTGATATAAACATGTAATTCTCAGGTGAAGAAATATAAATGATAAATACGTATATGTAAAAATATTCAACAGCATTGGTCATTCAGTAAATGCAAATTAAAACAACACTAAAGAATGGCTATCATTAAGAAATCGACTAATGACAGATGCTGGAAGGGATGTGGAGAAAAGGAACATTTTTCCACGGTTGGTGGGAGTGTAGACTGGTGCAACCACTGTGCAAATATGGAGATTTCTAAAAAAAAAAAAGAAAGAATTACTTGAGACTATCCTCATAAGTGAAATAAATAAGAATCATATTTATAAATATCACAATGTATCTCTAGTGTAAAAAGTAATAAGAACTGTAGGAATAATAAAACCCAAAATGTGTAATTGCTATTATAAAAAAGAGAGGAAAAGAAAGTGCTCTAAAGGATATAACTGCATATGTAAGTGTGTAGCATTGATAACCATATTACTGAGTTTTTGTTGGATCATTGAACAGAACTATTTGCAGTTCATGTTTGAATGTCTACTTTGTATGCTTTAATTTTGTAACTTGAACAACTATTTCTAAGATGATGGTATGTAATTTATCAACTAGTGATTTCTTAGTTTTTTTTTTTTTGAAATTCTGTATTATTTCTACCCTTTTTTTCTGTTTTGCTTTTTTTCTCTTTAAATAAAATTAAAGAAAAAAAAAAGAATTACCGGTCCCATTCAACTCAGCATTTCCCCTTCTGGGTATCTCCCCAGAAGAAATACAAATATCATACTGCAATAATATATGTGCATCTGTGTTTATAGAAGCACAATTTGTAACAGCTAAATCTTGGAAACAATGCAAATGCCCATCAACTGGAGAATGATGTGGTCTTTTTACACGATGGAATACTACTCAGCCATAGAGAATAAACTTGAAAAATTTCTAAGTAAATGGATGCAACTTGAGACCATATTCATAAATGAAATAAATTAAACTCCCATGTGTAAACATCATATTGCCCCCCCAGTGTGATAAACTGAAAGAATATAGAACAAAATATACAGTAGATATTGTAAAATGAAAAGAAATTGTTCAGAAGGAAATAGGATCAAGGATTCAGGGAAGGGGAAAGGAAGGGAGAGAAAAGAAAAAAATACAAGATACGTATACTACTAATTCTTTTAGTTCACTGAAAAAATTTGTGCTAATATCATTTGTAGAAAATTTTATGCTCATGTCTTGTACTACAAATAACTACTTTAACGATAACAATACACAATGTATTAACTATAGTTTTCCTCCTACGTTTTGTTATGAAATTATTTTATTTTTTCATAAAACATAAAAGTATAAATGCAAACTGTAAATAAACATTTTCAATTTATAACTTACATATACTTTTTAAGAGCAGGAGGTATGGGAAAATTTTCATGTTGTTTTGGACTTACGTGGCAACTACAGGAAATTTACCCTTTCCCCTTTGAAGGGTTCTGCAATGAACCTACAATAGATTAACAGGAGAAAATACATACATATGTATTACTATGTCTTACAAGAAGGTAAATATCCAATGACCCAATGAGATTCAGAAATACATACCACTCTCTTCATCGAAGAGAGGACTGGTGTTGCAGGAAGCTTGAAGAGATATAAAATGATTTCTAGGGAAAAGGAGTGGTTCCAAAGGACAGATAGTGGCCAAGGACAAAGTTCCACTGGACTCTGGTGAAGGTAGTGACGAATTACAGAAAGCAAAGAGCCAGGAGTTCACTGTGAGCAAAGGTTGTCACAGGTAAAGACTCTCAGATCATCCAGGTGTGGTGGTGCACACCTGTAATCCCAGCATTCTGGAGGCTGAGGCAGGAGAACTGTTGCAAGTTCAAGACCAGCCTGTTTTACAATGTGAGCTCAAGGCTGGCCTGAAGTGCATAGTGAGACCCTGTCTCAGAAAGAGAAGGAGAAAAAAGAAAGACTCTCCGGTCATTTCTTAGAGCATCCCTCAGCAGCATAGATGAGAAGTCTGTCTGGGCATGGTGATGACTGTCAGTTTCTTCTCTGGTTATCAATCTTCCTTGGCTACTTAATGAAACTCATAGGGAAGAGAGGAGAAGCAATTGCTTTCCTTCTGGGATAGGGACTTCCCTAAGATAAGAGAACTTTAGAGAAAACTTCTCTCTGTGGTCAAAGATTGGGTAGAGAATCAAATAAGATAAAGAATACAAAACTAGAGAGATCTTAGTTCTGACATGTTTCTTGGGTTCACTGGGTCAAAGGGCCTCACTTTACCCAAGTAGTTCATAGGAAAACAACACGATTTTGAACCCAACTTGCTAAATTTCTTTATAATTTAGGTATATAATGGAAACAATTATCCAGAAAGTAGGATTTTCAGATTTTATTTATTTCCACTCTTCTTTATCTCTTTTTCATCTTCATCATCTTTTCTTGGGCAAGCATGATAACTTTACTAACCTTCCAATTCAATGGAGTAAAAAAAATTTTTTTTTTTTGTCTTTTTCGCTTTTATCAGTACTGGGGATCGAACTCATGACTGCCTGCTTGCAAAGCAGGCGCTTATTCCGCTGAGCTAAATCCCCAGCCCTGGAGTAAACTTCTTATAGCTTCATTTTCTGGCAACATGTTAATGGAAACTGCAATCAAATAGCTCAAAAGCTAATTTTAGTAAGCATAGCCTTCATTAGAGAATATAAACTAACCAGTTATATTTTGCATATTTTCTACATATATTTTGTGTACTTATGAGGAAATAGCAACCCTATAATACATATAAATAAAGTATAACATACATATTATTTTTATATAAAGCTTTAAAATATCAGCTTCATAAGGCCAAAATCTTGCTCTCAAAAAATTGTTTCTTAGGTTGTATTTGAAAGGCAACTTAAATGAAGAATTATTACAGTTTATAACATGGTACCATTGAGTTTAGAAGTACAACCTACTACTAAGTAGTAGATTCTAAAAATTGCTTTTTAATTCTGAAATCCAGCACTTCATAATAAGAATCAATGAAACATCATTTCAAATGTTACTTCTTTTATTACACACACATGTTTTCAGACTATAGATGGAATTATGTGCTTTACTCTGATGAATCATGTTCCTTAAGTTTAAAAAGGTGAAAGTCAGAAAGAAAATTTTTCTTAGAAAACTTTAGAATAGACATTGGTTAGCTAGAATTTTTCCTGTTATTCTTAGTACCAATGAACAGGGATTAAAATTCAAAAACTAAAATAAATGTGAAGGGAGGGACAGCCTCATTGTCCTTTCTTTTCTAACTTTGTGCTTCACCCAAAGGTTTGACATATGGAATATTATTCATTTTGAAGTTTCTCAGTGAGCAAATGATTTTTGGCTGAGTTATATCTTCCCCACTACTGAAAACTGAGTCATTATTTTGTAGATGCTAGTAGTTAGACCATGAGAGCTTACAATGCTGGCTGAGACTGTATAAGGAATGCAGAATGTGACAGTAGGAAATTGTATTACAAAGAATTGGCAATTTCATTATAAACTGAAACTTCTTCTCCTAGGCCAAGTTGCACTGTGAAATCTACTTGGAAACTCAACTTGTTAAAGAAAAAAGAAGCCAAGAAAAAAAAAGAGGAAAAGAAAAATGACTTTATTAAACATTAAGCTTAGGTCTCCCAATTTAAGAATTGTATAGAAAACTATTTTATAAATAAAAATTAATAATGTGATTTGAAGTCATGAGGTTAATGCATGAATAACTATGCAAAAAATAGTTTATATTGATTGGATACCAGGAAAGTCTACTGCTCTTCTGTTTTTAGAAATACTAACAGGGAAAATTAAAAATTGATTTGCAACTGTATAAAAAATTGGATACAACAAATATTTTACACTAATAGTCAATCTTAATTGCTTATACATGTACCTCAAAAGTGAATTATACATATTATTTGAAGAATTAAAAAAGAAATACAAGATTCCACACCTACTGTAAACAAGACATGATATCGGTTTCTTACCCATTCCTGGCTGAACCTCCGGGTGAGAATAGATAGATTAGCAAAAGAAAAGCATAATAAATTATTTGATCAAATTTTTACAAAACAAGGAAGAACTGAGACATAGAGATCCAGGGAAGATTAACTGTGTGCTTATGTTTGCTTACATTTGATCGGACAAGCAGGGATACAACCTAACATTAAAAACCTAATGGGACATTTGCAAGGCCTGTTTGTTCTCTTGTTTACCCCTGAGTATGAGGGAAGACCCCTCTAAAGTGAAGGTTTTATGACCTATTCCCAGGCCAGAGAATTCTCATGATGGCCTCAAAAGAGAAATGTAGGAGGTCAAAGAGTGACCTTCATGGATTCTAGAGATTTCTCATCTTTCTTCAGCTTAAGATAGTCAGTACCCCAAGGTGCCATGCTGTGGGGTAGTGTTTCTTGCAATCTACCACTATAAGCAATAAGACCATCTTAACTTTTCACAGACAGTCATTTGTTCCATTTTACTCTGAAATGTTTCTTTTGCTGACAGTCTTAGCATGTCATTTTCATTGATTTTATGATAAAATAAATTTATTGTGAATCTTTCTTAACAGATTAATCCTCATGTTAACAACCAAGTGCACATTTTATGGCTTCTTCCAATGTATGAAATTGATGTCTGGGAATTTGATGGTGCTCTTATCAAGACTGTAGCAACTATAAAATGATCATCTTTTTTGACATTACATATACAGATGAGTTGACTCTTTCAGCAAATAAGCCCAGAGATACTTGCCTTTTTTAAATGGCTTAACAGTAGTTTGAGCAAATTCAATGATGCAATTTCACCTGCATTCATTGGGGATAAAAATCAATGTCTCATACAGCACATCTGCTCCCACAGTCCAAAGTCCCTGGAGATCCATAGAGCAGCACGAAGCAAAAAGCCATTGCTGGACTGATTGATATTTCAATATGTTGACTTTTATGAAGGTGAGTTAGGCTGAACAATAAAAAGTTGTATAACATTTTGTCTGTTTCTTAAAATATCCCTGTTCCCACAAAACATGTAAATAATCCCCCAGGACTGCTTGATGGGATAAAGTAAGTCTGCACAAATCTGGGTTAATTGTACTATCAAATTTCTATTATAGTGCCAAAGAAAAGCATTTAAATCTTCAAAGTTTTGAAATCTTCCAATGACTATGTGAAAATTGTTTTAAAGACCAATAAAGTGTGCCTTTTATTTTACATTTCACTACAAAGAGCAATATAATAATAGCATTAACTGAATTTTGATCCAAATGAAACTAAAGCTCTTTTAGAATCTCATGATATCTCTTGTTATGTGAATTGTAAACAAAAGATCTTTGCCCAGGCATATTTTGTAAGCACTCTTCCCAAAATTAGATCATTTAATCATATCAAATAATAATGAATACACATTTTCTCAGTGACACATAATATTTTACTGTTGTCATTCTGTTGCTGGTATTCTTAATTCTTAGACCTGAATTTCTTATTATTTTGACCATGGCTACACTTTAAGCTACTTCCCATAGGACAATCAGTACTAGTTCTTAAAAATTAACAGAGAACAGATTCTCAGAAAATAAACTTACTGACAAAGGAAAAAAATTAATTACACTTCATTTCAGAATGTAACAGGCAATATGAAAATAATTCCCCTCTCTCCAGTGTATATTTTCCTGATCTATTCTGCACTTGTTCAACACACTAACAATAACAAATATAAGCCATGTAGTTATAAATCTATTTCTACAGTATATTTTTATTTTATTGCTTAATTTAACCAAAATGTCAGTGTTTGGTAAAACATTATTTGACCACACATAGAGAATGTAATTGTTATGAAACAAACATTTATGAGCATTTTTAAGTAAAGTTATTAGAATTTTTGCAGATACGAGAAAAATAACTTTTGAAGAATTCTTTCTAAAATTCCAGAACAAAAGGGCATCATAAATGCCCTACGCCAGTTCATTCTCCTTTCTGAACAATTTCTGTTCTCTCCCTGCTCTATCTTAGTTTGAACTATGATGAAAAGTAATTTTAACATTTAACATCTGGGCATGTTTCCTCTATAAACAGTAAAAGTCATGTAAATTTTTCTGTTTAACTGTCTGTCTGTTCCACCAAGAATATGAGGGAAAAGTTGCAATTTATCTTTAATAATGTTTAAGACAACATGAAGTGCATATCTATATTTTTACTTTATATGGCCTACAAAGCTATACTCCCATTTTTTTTGTGACTCAAACACTTTCTCTCTCTCTCTCTCTCTCTCTCTCTCTCTCTCTCTCTCTCTCTCTCGTCTCTCTCTCTCTCTCTCTCTCTCTCTCTCTCTCTGTCTCTCTCTCTCTCTTTCTCTTTCTCATCCTCTCTATTCCTCCCTCCTTCTTTCTCTTCTAGTGATTGACCCAGGTCTTCACACCGAGCTATATGATCAGCCTTTTCTCCTTTTTATTGACAGGGTCTGCCTAAACTGCTCAGGCTGGCTGTGGACTTGCCGTGCCCTACCTCTCCCTCTCCAGTAGCCGAGATTCCACTTGAAGGTTCTTGTTTGTCATCGTAGATGGTTCCCTGCTCCTTCCCGCTGGCCCCTATGGCTCCCTTTCAGATGCCTAAAGGCCTATTGCAATTT